AGAGACATCATTCCCATGCATTGTTTATGTCTGACATGTGCACGATAATATTCCCACTCCCATTTTATCAGTTTGGTACTTACTCTTTCCCATGACCTATTTTATATCTCTTCTCTATCATATCATAGTAGAAATTCATAATCTTATCTGCCAAATTTCGTCAGACTAGAATGGGCTCGTAACATTATCTCTCACAACACATCATTTTCGTATGTTTCCTTGTTCAGTAAAAAATAAACTTATCATATATGTGTTATCTGTGTTTGTATTAGTTTTTATATTATTTGAACTTTATAAAATTATAAGTCTCTGTATTGTTACAGTGTGATATGATGTGTGTTTTTTTGTCTTTCCAGTGATATGATATGTTTCTTGATTTTATTCACTACTCTTTACCACATATACTTTTTGAAAAGTGAAAGGCAGGTTCCATGACATATCTATGGTCACATTACTGCATTGGTCATTCAATCTAATTTCATCTTTCACAAACTTCCATTAATTTCCTGGTAGAAAAGTCACGCCAACTATATATCATCGACATCCTGAAGTCCTCAAACCTCTGTGCGTTGCACATATCAAGATTCAGAATGAACTTGTATTGCAGTAATGGTGTTTGAGTAAAAAGCAGGAAGAAAGAACACAGATAGAAAGAGAGATCGATTCAAGATTGTAGAGAGGGAAAGTTTTCTTATTGATCAAGACAAATCTTACAAACATATGATGTAGTCTATATTCTCAAAGGATAAGATACTTATCTCTAAGATTCTAAGATGATTCTATCCTTAACAAACTTTCTTATCTATTGACAAGTGTCATTTGTTGGACCTTCAATTTCATCACTCTTACATCCCCTCTCAAGCTCACGTTTGGTGGAACTAAGCATGAGATTATCACAATGTTGGTGAAAAAGAGGTTCAAGAAGTTCTTTACTCAAAATGTCAGCTTGATCCACAGAAAATACATGTTGAACATGAAGATCGCCTCTTATAACTCTCTCACGAACAAAGGAGTAATCTATTTCAATGTGCTTAGACTGGAAATGGAACATAGGATTGGTAGACAAGGCTATAGCTGAGATGTTGTCACAATATATAATAGGAGTTAATGAAATTAGAACATGTAAATCACAAAATAATCATCTGGTCCAAGCAAGTTCTACTGCTGTGATTTCAAGAGCTCTATACTCAACTTTTGTCGAAGACCTGGAAACAATATTTTACTTTTTCTAAGCCCAAGAAATTGAACTAGAGCCAAGAAAAACAACAAAACATGAAGTGGATCTTCTCTCATTAGGATCCCCTATATTTTATAGTTTTAAATTTCATAATGTCTATTATGAAGTGTTTTTACATCATGCCATGCTTTTACTTACAAAAATAATTAGTGATGATGTTTAGATTCATGAAATTATGATAGAATGATCATGCATATTTTATCTGCTCATCATGCATGCTTACACTGGTGTCTACAGTATTCTTCTAGGTCAGGATTAGCTTCACATGTATGTTCACATCGCACTATTATACGCTTGCTTTGCATCCATTATAGGCGTGAGCCTATACTAGCTATTTTTGCATCTAGAACTCATATGTGACATGCCTAGAGCCAGCTTCACGCTTATGCAGTACTCAACCGTAGATTATTACACAGTCTGTTCACATAGCTACTTTCTGCATAGAATCGTGTGTCTCCATAATTTTGATGAGCATATTATGCTATTGAGATACTTGTGTTTTACCCATATCCTTAGCACATATGCTTTTATACCATTCGCGTTGACTTTTCATACTTTTATGTAGTATGATTGTGAAAACTATATAGGTTTTACAGAGAGAGGTTACTATGTTACGAAAAGCAAATGTTTTGATAATTTTTTATTTTTGCTCACTCACACTTACTGTTATGCGCCCCTCTAGGACTTAGTAACTAGATTTTGTGGCGAGCGAGGGATCACTGTTGGTTCTAATATCCGCTTTAGTTAATGTAGGAAATTTATTTCCTATTAGTTGTGTAATATCCAACCTACCAAGGATGAGAATGCTCTATGTTATGCTTCACTATATTTATGCTCTGGCGTTGCATGCATTGTAATAAACGTTTATATCATATTGCACGCTTCTACTCTTATCTTAATTTAGTTCCAGACTTGGTTTTAATTTCTTCGTACTATATATATTATTTGTGTGTTATGGTTTCGTCACCCTCTAAACGTTGGCCAACTTCATTATGAGGAGTCTTGTCTAACTTCTCATGGCTGCTGAGCAGGGCTAGCCCTAAGGGTAGCCCAAGTAGGCGCCCGCCTAGGGCCCCCACTTCGGAAGGGCCCCCAAAAAAATTTTATATCTTCTAATTAACATATAAATACAAAAAAAAAAGTAAGAAATATCATAATTCATTTGTTAGTGCAGTTGAAATGTTGGCTTCATTTTTCTTTGGGGTGTTGAGTTTGAAACACAAAGCTGCATTTCAATCACTAGATTTTTCTTAATTTTTCTTGTTTTTCAAATTTACTGCCAATTCATCTGTCCAACTCCCAATCCATCTGTCCAAATGCATATAAAGTTATAAAACTCAAGTCTCTTAGCAATCTTTTTTCTTTCAACTTCTCATTCTCTCAATTTCTATCGAATGTTTAAACCAACTTCCTATTCTCTCCATTTCTATTAAATGTTTAAACCAACTATCATATGGTCTTAAAGATTGTACTTTAAGGTAATCAAAACTTTGAATTTTATATATTTCTTTTCAATAACTTTTTATTCAATGGATTATTTTAATATTCAATTCGTTAGTGTGATGTTGATTTTAGAAGAAAAAAAACACAAGAAAAACAATTGGCGTTGAATTTATTATACTCGTCAATCAAGTTTTATTGTTATTTACTCTCGTGATTATCAAGTTTTATTGTTCTTCACTCTCAATCTTAAACTCTTGACTGCAAACATTTAGTACATATGTGTCTAAAAACGTGAATCGTGTAATGTTTAAATAATGTTTGTATATTTATCTTCTTTTGATATTAATTTTTAATGATATTTGATGTGAAAATAGAACTTTTTATGTATTTAGCAAATTCTTTTTTATACAAATCAATATACAAAGGACCGTAGATCAAGGAATTTTAGGGCTCCACTTCGAAGGCTCGCCTAGGGCTCCCAAATTCTCAGGGCCAGCCCTGCTGCTATGGGTAGAGTGTTGGAAGATCATTGATTGGCCGATACATTCCAATTAGCTTGTGCTTTTGTGAATGCCATCTAATTATTTTCTACCCCTTAATCAGTGATAAGAACATGTATCTTACTTAACCCTATTTGCTGGAAATCCTTGACATATTCTTTAATGGAATTTCACTTGAAGGAATAAAGTTAGTCAAGTAGTAATATAGTTTCTAGCTTCTGATTTACAGTCTTATTTAGTTTCTTAAACCATCTTTAATGAGGAGTTGCTAAATACTAAAATTTGGCACATGAAAGACAAATTTTAGGTTTTCAAATTGTTTTTATCTCCGAACCCTCCAATGCTAAAATTTAGCAACGCATCAGTATTTAAATGTTGGACGAGTATTTTAGCCTTAATTTTTTTCTTCTAATTAACAGTTTTTCAAATATTTTTTGTTAGGTATCTTAATTTATTTTTATGAATATTTTAATAAAAAAATGGTTCTTTAGATATAGGTCCTTGAAACTCCTATTTTTCAAATAAAAACCCATCTAAATTTAAACATTCAAATAAAACGCAAATTTCAAATAGACTATCATGTAGACAAATATATGACCAACTATTACAATACATTTACAACTTATACCACAAAATCCTAATTTGGTCAATAAATGTTTTTACTCATCCTAATTATGATGAGCAATTAAATCCATATGGATATTTTACGTTTCTTGTATCATAAATATTAGCAACATATATAAATTAATTTACCAACTATTACAATACATTTACAACTTATGCCACAAAATCCTAATTTGGTCAATAAATGTTTTTACTCATACTAATTATGATGAGCAATTAAATCCATATGAATATTTTACGTTTCTTGTATCATAAATATTAGCAACATATATAAATTAATTTACCAAATAAAAAAAAGACGTATCTTGTACGGAAAAAATAATATTGTTTGAATCATGTAATTACCTACATACAAATTAATTTACCTACTTATAAAATATTCTACCAATATACCTGCATTTTGAATCATGTAACTACCTACATACAAATATTATACTAATTTACCTACATTTAATTTAATTTACCTACTTATAAAATATTATATTAATTTACCTACATTTAAATTAATTTACCTACTTATTAATATTATACTAATTTACCTACATTTAAATTAATTTACCTATTCCAAAAAAACAAATTAGTGATATTAGATAATGTTCGAATGTTGTGGGTTTGTGCTTGTAGGCAATTAAATAAACTTTTAATATAATGCACATAAATAATGTAGGTAAATTAGACCATTTTGAAAGTAAATTAGACCCTTTAAATTTTGGTTTGATGGAATAGGAAAATTACTATTTTGTAGGTAAAAATTGCACGAACATATAGCTTTTGTTTTGTGTATTAGGGATTGGAGTATTCATAGAAGCTGTTTTAGGTTTATTGTTGTGTTGGTAGGTAAATTGACTTATATATTTAATGCACAAAATTTTGAAATTAGTATTATTATTTTTCAATCGGCACGTTATAACAATTTGAAAGTTCATACATTGAATATACAATGAATGGCATGAATTATTTTGTAAAATATATAAAATTGTTTATGTGACGACCCGTCCCTAATTTTTCTATGTAATTTCTTCCCGAGTATGTGTATTGACGATTATGCCCTTATTGGCAAGTGACGTGGACTTATTCTTATCGCTTTCCTTTTTATTTCTCGCTATCGCATTTAAATTGTACACGCTAGTAAGAGTAGACGTAAATTTTAAAGTGTAAAAACATCTACTTCAGATAGATTTCGATTCCTTTTACTGTAGGAAATCTAAAAACCTATCCTTGGATTCCTTTTAAAACCCATCCCATGCACTTCTCTGCATTATTCCACTTTCAGCTATCCCATCCCTTCTTTATTTTCTGTTCCCTCAATCAGAAAAGCATCTCTCTCTCTCTCTCTTCTCCCTCTCCCACGCCACATTTCTTCTTCTTCTTCTTCTTCATCTCTGCAACCTTCACAAAACATACCAAAACTCACAAACATGAAAAACAAATTACACCATTGTGATCATCTCAGTCCCACGATCACAACCATGTCCTTGAAATCTGGTGTGGACGAGTTTTGACTCACCAACTCGGAAGGTCGACTCAGTGAGTTCGACATATCGATTTTCAGGCCATGCATGGCTTAGGTAAGCCTTGAGAAAACTTTAGAACCTTCATTTCACTTCTATGGGTTGTTATTGATCCTTTGTTTGTGTTTTGAACGTGTGGTTTTACCCAAAAACTCGAGAAGAAGGAGAACCTACCATTTTTCACTCAAGAACCGTGGCCATTTAGTCACTTTCAAACCATTTTTCTGGTCAACCTCGACCACAACTGGACTTCTTCTAAGTACAAACTTGTTCTCTACATTCCTAACTTCAAAATGGCTTTTGAATAACTGAGTTTGGTTAAGTAACGAGTTAGAAATCAACTCTGGAAGTTAGGAAGAAAATTTTAGTTTCTGGAAAATTTGTAACCGTGGTCGTTTGGCTACTTTCAGGCCAAATTTCTGATTAACTCAAACCATATTCGAACTTTCTGTAAATTGGGATCGGTAGATAACATTCCTAGCTTTAATTTGGCTTTTGTAGAAGTGAATTGGGTTGAGAATCGAGCTCATTATGGGCTCTGGAAGTTGGGCCAAAAATCTGCAAAATTGCAGATTTTCGCGAAGAAGGCGAGTACAGTGTACTCGCGAGGGCGTGTGGGCGCGCGTGGACAGCCACTTTGGGCGGTGCGTGGTTGACACGTGTGTGTTCGTGTCGTCGAGTAGATCGATTTCATATATTTACACCCTAGGTTTGAGCAAACTATGGGGGTTTTATTTAGGTTTTCGTTATGTGCTTTAATTAATGTTATTTAGTTATTTCACATATAGGGGAAACTTATTCCGAGGATTTTCGAGGCCAAGCTAGGCTCGGGGGCTACGACCCAATGACGTACTTGTGAGTGGGCAGTTGTTTTATACCTATATATATTTATAGTTTCCATAAATGCGTATTTACTTCACTTTTACGCCTATATTGCCTAGCATCATTATTGTGATATAAATTGTGATAAATGCTGCTATATGGTTGTGATATTACTGTCATGGCATTCATACATACTTGTATACATGCTCATCTTGCTACACCTGGTGTTAGTACTCGCCCCAGGGTCAGGGCCAGTCCTTCACGTGTATGTTCACATCCACACCGTTTGCTCACCTTGGATCCAAGTTTAGGTGCCAGTCTTGTCGGGTAGATTGCATTAGGCGATCCGACTTGTATGTGATGTGCTTTTGCACCAGTCTTCACGTGATCGTAGTACTAGAGCATATTGATTACACCCAGTCTTGTTCGTGTCAGAAACCATTTGTTCGAACTTGTGTGTCAACTTAGATGGATGAGCACTTAGTTATATTGATTATCACATGATTATTATTGTGGCATATGATACATCATTTACTTGGCATATTTCTGGTTATATGGTTGATATATTGGATTTCATACTTACGTAGTATGTTTTGAGAAAACTATACTTGTTTTACGGCGAGGGGTTAGTATATTTAAAGATAAAGGTTTTCTTATAAGCATTGTTTTGCTGACCCACTCAACTTTGTTTTCGCCCTTCCAGGACCTAGATAGCTGTACTCTCTGTGGCACTCGAGGAATCACGGCAGTTCTAACATTTCCTTCTGTTTAGACGTACAAACTTATCACTATTATGTAATAAGTGTACTTTGGCTGCTTTGACTACTCTTTCGTAGTCTCACTGTCTATTACGCTCTGAATAATTGTAGTGGGTTCAACCCACGAATTGCACACTCTTTCACTGTTTAGTTCTAATTAGTTTTAATTTTATTCACTTTTTGCATCACTTACCCTTATGGCTACGTCACCTCACGGTGACAGCCAACATGCTTCGACCTTTCCAGGTCGGGGTGTGTCAGTTTAAATGGATATAACAAGTAACTGATCAAAAAACTCTATCCAAGTATTAATAGGGGTAGTTTAGGCATTTTGAAAATATACAATTTGAACAGTCAAACTTAATTAAAGAATTTGTTTATTTGGAGGCTAGTCAATGGATTTTATTCAAGAAAACAAAAGGTGATGGGTTTTAGTAAAGGAGAATATAGTTTCAAGGGGTAATATCAAATTTTCAGATAAAAAAAATCTAAATTCTTTGAGGTAAGATTGAGCTAAATATTTAAATATTATTTTAACCATTTCATTTAAATTTGGGCTGTTGATCATATCTTTCACCATTAAATATGATATCATCTATTGTTGTTCTACTAGATTTATGAATAGAAAATATTATAAAAACTGACGACAGAATAACTAAACGAAGTGAATATCAGCCTTTGGATAAAAAAACTCACTCACTCTTGGAGTCAGGTTGACAATACCTCTAACTAGTATCCCATGTCATCTTAAATGAGATTTACCTTTTTGATGACATTGTTTTCGGGCTAAATAAAACTATTTAGACCATGGCTAGATATTAGCTAAAGTTGCCATGAGTTTGGACCTCAGCTCCTCCCTCTTCTATCTCTACGTTAAGCATAGTTCTTATGTAGTCCTTTTAGGTTTGTGTTTGTTACATACGATCAATATTTATAAAATAACTGTCTAACAAAGAAAGAAATGGATGACAACTTTTATTTTGTCTAAATTGTGCAGTTCTTCCAATCCTACCATGAATATCCATCATGAAATTCCCTCATGACTACTCGATCTTTCTTCAAATATCTCAATCGTGTGGAACAAAGGCAGGGAGCCTTATTGAATGGGTCTGCCTTAGAAATCCAAAGGGCCCATTAAAAAATAATATATGGGCCGTGCTTGACAACCCAATGAGGATCCAATTTAGATGCTCAAACCAGCCTTCGAAGGATGAGCATTTCATTAAGCCATTGATCTGACCATGATTTGAGAAGTAATCAGATCGAAGCCAATTATCAATTCTGGTCCAGAGAGATTCTATTGGCCGAAAAAGACAATTCAAATTTTTGTTGCCACTTGCCACTCCAAATAGAATTTGGTTGCACTAAAACCTCAAGCACAAACTGTTATTCTTTCTCTTTCACAAAAAGCAGAAGGAAACTGAATTATTTTCTAAGAGGAGTAGTTGAAAGTTCGGCGTTATAGCACTATACAATCAACAAACCGGTAATTTTAGGGAGACTTTAATTTAAAGGAAAACTAATGAAAATGGTTTGAAAACTTTGAGTTTTAATGATAAAGACAAAATAAAGGGTAAAGTGAATAGTATCAGGTTTGACTTTTTAGTATAAAAATGTGGTTTTTACTTAAAGTGAACAGTACCGTGAGCTTTTCGTTAAAACTCCCTTAATTTAAACCATATGACGTTTTTATAGATGACTGAATTATTACATAAGTATTGATTAACTTGTTTATTTTCTATTGGTGATACATCATATTAATATCGTATAAAAAGTTGATATGCCTAGTATTATTCTAAACAACGAACAGGGAACAATAGCAAAGGTTCCATCAACTACAGTACACGCACCAAAGCATTATTTATCAAATTACACATCCTGTCCAGATAAAAAATGTACACAAATGCATTTATATGATCCTAAAACATGTATTATTTATTTAGACGAATTTAGATTGAAATACAAGCAATACTAGGATCAGAATTTAGGATCACAGCCGAAGATTTAAGTCCAGCTGCTTATTATGTACATCTGATTCTTGTCTGGGTAATTGATGATCCATCCGGAAACTTCCTGGCCATATATGATCCATGGTTTCTTCAAGCATGAAGGGTGTCCATGCCATCCCAAAACCTGCGGCGGCTTCCCTAAATCTCGCCACCATCGACCCATCTGACCTGCTGCTAGGTTTCTGCACGAGTGAGTGAGGCTGGACTCCGAGTGACCTAGCTGCTGCAGCGACAGGGGTAAACGGAAACCCCAACGCTGACATCATCATTCTGTGAGACTGATACCTTTTGGCAGCTCCCCTCTCTCTCTTGTGTGCGTTTTGATGGCCTCCCAAGGCTTGTGAGCTGTAAAACTTCCTCAGGCAAAAGTTGCATGAGAAAACTTTGTTGCTATTGGATGGTTTTGGTGACGGAAAATCGGCATCGACTTCCGCCTCGGATGGCTCGTTGGAGTTGAGGCTTAAACTCAACCAGTCTCCGAAATTATCACCTCCACGATCATCACCTAATCTTTCATCATTACTTTCTATAATCTCATCATTTGCTTCTTGTGCTTCTGCTTCTGCTTCTTGTTCTTGCTCCCTTTTGGAAATCATTGCAAATCCTAGACAAAACTCAATTTAAAAGGTATAAGAAATTGAGATTTTGAGATAGAGGGTTGAAGAAGTGGGGGAGCTTGGACTTAAATAAGGGGTGTGATGGAAAAGAAGGGAGTTAAGTTAGTGTTCAAAATGCAAACGTGGACATAACTACATTGGTTGGGTTTGAGTTATTTTCCTCGCTGTTTATACTTGTTTAAAGTATAATATCGCTTGTATTAAAAAATATATAAGAAATTAATGTTCTAAACAGTCCAAGAAGGAAAGGGAATATGATAATGGTGGGGAGGCAGTGTCATTGGATATCACCAAAATATTTTATCTCTAAATCTATATGGTGCTCCCACTTTTTGATGCTTGAGACTTCTAAGGGGACCAGTTGCTTGTGTCATGCATAATAGTATTGGCCATTCAAGGCTTAGGATTCCTTAGTTCCTTGCTCATCTTTTCTTTCACTCCTCTTAGTAGCATCAATATAATTTGATTCCATATGGATGAACTAATCACAAACACTTTGAATTAACTACTGAAAATGTGCAGATGCTGAAAATTCCATAAAAACTTTCCAATTTCCAAAGTGCTTCTAGTGATGGAAAATTGAAATAAAAAAGCACTTCTAGGTAAATGTTGCTTAGAGAACATAGGCAAGTTGGGGTTGCTATCTAGAAGAGCCCAAAAGGTGCTTGTAGTAAATGAAGCTACGTACGTAGCTAGATTGATACAGATATGGTCCCAACTCCTAACCCTAACCAGAACCCTACATCATTTGGACCCGTTAGTGAAGATTTAAAGCCTCCAGCATATGTTTATGTTTATGGAGTTTTGTGTTCAGGTGATCAAGGATTCATCGGCAGTCACAGTTGAATTTAATATCAAATATTAAGTTTAAAAAATTAAAAACACATATATTTGTTCTCCACCATTGATTTTAAATAAAATGATAAGTAATCATCAAGTCTTTGATTATCGGATAATCGAGAGAACATTTTTGAATATTTATGTGATGGACTCTCTGCAGATTATTGACACTTATTCGATTTGTCATGCAAAATTAAGTTGGTCCTGCCAGAGGTTAGATGTGAAGTAAGTTGGTCTTGCCAGAGGTTAGATATGTACATTATTAAAACTTACAGAGAGAAGGAGATTGATCTGTCTGCTGCAAGAAATTAAAAATCTTACAGGCCCAATATTCATTAGGAGGCAGATTCTCTGCCCTCTCACTTCTCGTGCCCTCCTGTTTTATGTAATAACGGTTAAGTCACGTTAACATTTTATGTTATTTTTTTTATAGAGATAATAAGACAAAAAAAGAATAGTAATATAAAATGTTGACGTGGCTTAACCGTGACCACATAAACAAGAGAGCACGGGAAGTGGGAGGGCAGAGAATCTGCCTCCTATTCATTAACATGTAGTTTTTGTCCAGATAGGAGGGGGAGAAAAAGATCACAGTGTTGGCTACTAATTATACTAAGGGGAAGGAGGAGTTCGGCTAAGCCACACAATGGGCAACCTAATTTGGTATCGAATTCGTCATCCACAATATTCGAACCTAAAACCTCTCACTTATAGATGAAAAGGAATACCACCCGACCTTAATTCTGAGTAGCCGAACCTTCAACCCTAAACCAATTAACAATTCAATGGGTGCTACTATGCACAAAGACAGACACCCCACAATCAATGAGTTGATACATGATGTCCACCAATGAGGAGAGTGGAGTTGTTAAAAGATGCTACCAATAATTGCTTATACATATGGGGCCGAAATGCAATGCAATGGTAGCTTTATCAAGAGTTTGGGGAGGACCCAGCAAACTGACATTTAAATAAGAGTAATGTTACGTATATCAAATTTTTAGATTAAATTTGTAAATTATAATGTGTCACTAATAAAAAAAATAAACACGTTAATTAATACTTAAATAATAATTCAAACATTACAATCATGTCATATGATTTACAAAAAGGTGAATAATAAATGGTGGATAATGCTATTCATACACCCTTTATACCTCTCACACACCCTTGTTAATTTTTGTCCATAGATCTTATTCAATTCATTCAATTTAACAGTCAGAAAATAAAAATATATGTGACAAATAAAAATAAATGTGTGAATAACTCTACTTTACAAAATTTGGTCAACAAACTTGATAACGTATGTGAGGACATATACAGAAATACAGGTGGGATGTCTGTTTTTCCCAATTAGGGTTTCCGTGGATAATTGTTTGATCGTGTAGCAGTAGTGGGCTACGTGTGCTTATATACATATGTACAATAGGAGCTGAGAAACCACCACCACACAATTCTTATAAAACAAATCAAAATCTTGGTGCTCATCTGATTAAATAGTAATAATAAAATAATAATTAATAATCATTAATTGAATATAGAAGCCCTAGTTTTCTCTATATCTTGATTGGGATTAAATTAAAAAATGTTTGTGTAGTGGAGTTGGATTGATGAGTCAGATTATATGTGTGCTTGGAGATTGGATTTGTTTTGTCCACACTGCTTCTTCGGCTTGTGCCGTTTAATCATCAAGCAAAACAAGTGTTTTCTAATTCAATTTAACGCATAAAAGGGAAAACCAAATGTTTAATACTAAATTATCAAATAAGAATCGGTCATCGTTCATAAGATACGAACTCAAGACTTACATTGTCACTATGACGAAACAAGTGAAGACTAGGTGCTATGTACTACCGACACTATTGCCTTCCCTCCTTCCACCTCTCAACCAAGAATCAGAGAAGTAATATGCAGAGCATACAGAAATAGTTTGAAGTGGTAGGGATTTGGTTCTCTAAGAAGGGCAAATAATCGTATCGTTTCGAGGGATTATACGCAAATTATGTAGAGAGTCGTAATCTTATCCCGGCATCAAGTAAAGCAGTTGTCGATAAAGATCGAAACAAGGATATAAGTTTGGATGCCGAGCAAGTGGTGATTCGAGAGGAACATCAAAATATATGCCCTCAGCTTGTTTCTTTACTGCAGGGATGCAAACATACCAGATTCTGAAGCTAACTCAAACCCTTGCAGAAAGACAGGCTCTAAAGTAATAATTCTCGACGTATGACTTGTGAAATTAGACCCAACACTCTCCACTAAAATGGTATCTAATAATCTCGATACTTAAGTGCATTTCAATCTCAAATTCGAAATTTTCAGACATCAATTTCGATTCATTAAAATTCGGAATTTTTTTTTATCAGAATTGGAAAATTTCGAATCAAGAAATTAATTGGATCGGAATCGGAATTTCCTACCGAGCTTGGATGGAATTCAAGCTGGCCCTCAAATTCGTGCAAATTGCAAACTCATGTCGGATGCAACATGTGAAATGCGAGACAAATCACGTATCGATTTCAGTGGTGCGGGTCAGGGTGTGCCTGGTGCGGTTCAAACACCAGCATGTGAAGAAACAAGAAGCACATATCACTCACTATCTTGTTCATTAGAGTATAACTTATACACCGATAAACCCATACGGTCCCTAAACAAGAAACATTGATCGCATGTTTACTTACTATGTATGAGTATGAGAAGAGAATCATTCACGTTTCTTACTTCCTAACGTGTGACGAATAAAAAATGTGACTCCCAACTTAAAATTAGTAATCCAATACCCTCAGAACCGAGAATTGGTTCAACTGGTGAAGCGGAGGTAGTAAGTAAACATGCGATGAGAGATAAGAATAGGGAAGAGAGCAATTTCTCAACAAAGTTCACATGCAGTGTATGGACCCGACGAACAAGGTTGACATGCAAGTGTATGGACCCGATCAACATGAATTTGACCTGATTCATAAATAAGGTTTGACATTTGGCTACGAACACAACTTGAACAATCATGACACCCTTTTACCATCCAGTGTAAAATCTATAAGATTAAGGCAAAACAAATGCAGCTTACGGGAACAACGATTGAACCCCTTTATGTCACGTATTAAATTTCAATTTGGATCCATAGATTCAAATAGCAATAAACAGTAGTAAAATAACATGATCAGACAGATTAAGTAGTTGTATGGTCTTGTAATTCTGAACAAAAAAGCCTACACAAGTCAAATGGCTTATAAGAAAATGAACACATAGTTGTGAAACTAGAAATTATCCACTAAAATGTGAAATTACTTACCATACCCACCTCATCAAAGATAAGGAGTACAGAATGCTTTCACTATCAGAGCACCACGAAATGTAGCAACAACTGCTGCTGTGTTGATCCAACAGAAGCTTGTTCAAGTACCTATACAATACCCAGAAGACCGATAAGCTGAAAAGCAGATCAAAACAGACACTACTTCCACACAGATAGACAATAACGTAGCCTTGTCAAGTTGGAATCGGATAACCCAACAAGCATTCACTTGGGATGGCACAATATAATAGATGGATAGTTGAATGTCTAGCAGCCACAATTCTGTTCAGTTAATTGGAATTTGAAGGAAAAATAACACCTATACAAAAGCTTTCATTATCTACCACCAAAATTTTGGCCATAAAACAAACCGATGCAATGCCAAATGCAACAGAAAATCAAAAGTATCACATACACATTCCGCACTCAAGCAATTTCTATTTGGTTCAGAAACAACTATAAGCTTTATTTTCAATTGAACAAACACTGCATTGCATATACAATAAATTCAAAGTTCCCATCTTTGCTCTATTTTCGATTGAAATTCTGATCATTCACTACCATTTCTCAAAATCGAACATGCAGATGACAAAACAAATAAAAATCAATAAGACCGATAAAAATCCGTAAAAAGCAATAAGCTAGTGCAAAGCATCATGAATCACACGCTTCAGAAAACCCCATTAAGCGCAGACAAATAGTGCATTGCGCACAGAAAATATTCAAAGTTCCCATCTGTTTTTTTCTTTCTACTGAAATTCCTCATCATTAAACTCCCATTTCATCAATCTACCACACAGCTAACAGTAAAATCAATGAAATTTAAAGGGGAAATAAACTGTCCATACAAGACGCACCGCAGAAAGAGAAAAACTACGAGGGATCAATGGAGGTACCCTGAGACAGCTCGCAGCAATGGCGCGCTTCGACGGAGATGTGGCTTGTGAGACGAGCCGAAGCCAGGGCGCTGTGCAATGGCATCAGCGACTGCGCGCAGGCCAATTGGCCCGCATTGACCGGGAGGGAGAAGAGGGTGCGGCGGGAGTTGCTGCCTAGGAGATTACGAAGCGGCGTGCGAGGGAGGGATGAGATCGACGGAGATGACCGGAATGTTGACGCTCTTGCGGTTGAGATCAGAGACCTTGACAAGGACGACCCAGATCGCCACGCCATATCTTTGCTGGCTGGAAATTTGGGAATTGCGAATGGGGAATCGGAGGCAAGGGTTTTAGGGCATTTGGATTTAAACCCTAGAAGGCTAGAACTCAAGGAGCTATCAGTTTTCTTCACTGTTGCAAAAATATCATTGGGCCTGTTTTAGATTGTTTTTTTTTTTCAAGCTCGGTCCAGTCATCATTGCACCTGTTTTAGATTTGTAAAATTACTATAAAGGACTCTTACATTGTTTTTATTTATTTCCGTCCACTAAAAGTGTCGTCAACACACAAAATAAAGAGTTGTGAGTTTATCTTTAAGAAGTTTTAACGAAAAATCATACTTTTACACTAAAAGTCAAACCTGGTACTATTTACTTTACTCTTTAGTTTTTCTTTATCATTAAAACTCAAAGTTTTCAAACCATTTTCATTAGTCTATACTCAGGTGCCTTTAAAGACTTTGTGAACCTCCCCAGTCATCGATCAAACATTTCCAGTTTCCATATTACATCTATTACATCTAGTGGGAACTCTAGAGACAACACTGCTTAGGCTTTGTTGTCTCTAGCACACAAAAATTTGAGTAACCAAATAAATACAGAGAGAATTTCGGATTAAATTAATTCTAGGGTAAATTACATAATACCCCCTCAAGTTTGAGATCTATTACAATCTCATACAATATCTTTAAAATATTTCACTTTCATACCTCACCTCACCTACTATTTTATTTTAAATATAATACATCCATTACATTTTTCATCCATTTGTCCGTTAAGAGCTGACGTAGCTATCACATTTGTGCTGATGTGGCTACCACGTGGCAATTTTTTTATATACATTAAAAATATTATAATATTAACCTTATTTAAAAATAAAAATAAATAAAAATAAAATAAAAATTAGAAATACCCAAACCTAGAAATCCTTCCCCGCAAACCCACATCCCACCCCCACCCCCACCCCTCTCTTCCTTCCTGTTCGTCCATCCCCCCCCCCCACCCGTCCCCCACCTTCCTCCACCACCCTCTCTCTCTCTGGGCAACCTGCAATCTGCATCCCCAAAATCCCAAAACCCAGAATCCCATTACAATTCTCAAAACCCAAATCCCATCAAACCTCAACGCCTCATTCGTCACTCATGATGGGTTGTGTGCCACGAACAATTGCCTCTTGCCTGAAATTCACAATGAAATTCAAGGAGTCGGTGAGGGTTGGGTTCGGGATTCGAGCTCTAGGGACGATGTGGAGTTGGCCTTGGCGAATAAATACGCGATTGAGGTTGTTTTGGGGGTTGAGCCACCAAAGGAGGTGGTAGCCAACTTCGATGAGGAGGAACTTGCCGTCGGAATCCCAGACTCTAATGGAGAGGTCGTGGAAGTTGGAGGAGATATGGAAAAGAAGAAAGACGGTGAACCACTCATCTTTGAAGTTGTCGGCGACGCGAAGCTTGCCGTGGAGGTGGGGGAGGTGGCGATCGGCGGAGCGGAGACATGAGGGTTGGGAGTGTGGATAAGGAGCGTGGAATGGATGTATTATATTGAAATAAAATAGTAGGTGAGGTATGAAAGTGAAATGTTTTAAAGATATTGTATGAGGTTGTAATAGACCTCAAACTTGAGAAGGTATTATGTAATTTACCCTCAATTCTATTGAAATAGTTTCTTTTTTAATATTTGATTCAAAATACCTGAACAAAGAAAGTCGTTACATAAAATTTAGTTAAATAATAGTATAACACATGGAATTTTTCATTGGACTAGACTAGTTATCAAGTAGATTAAATTTTAGAGATATTCAACATTTGTCCAATCCAAATTACCCAATTTACCAACATTTGCTCAGCATCTCCAGGATCTATCAATCTTCCGTAAGTTTTCATTTTGGGTGCATATGACCCATCATTCCCATCAAATTTTAAATGCACAAATAAAATTGTGATTTTTACGCACACTTTTACAGCTTTTGCATACCGCCTCTTAATTTTGACTTTTTTTTTCTTTTTAAATTTGTTCAATTTAACGACTTAAAAAAGATTACAAAGAAATTAAAAAGGGTTTCCTAGAACCATTTTGTACAAATAATATGACTAAATGATCCGTAAATTTTTTTTTTTTAATCGTGTTTTGTTTATAATTTAGATATTAGGCTGAAATGCTTCTGTCACTCTTCCCGATCTTCGAAATGAGTGAATAACTATAATTTGCTATCTCTCTTTTAAAAAAAGAAAAACTAATAAAAAGAGCTTGAAAACTTTGAATTTTAACGATAAGGAAAAAATAAAAAGTAAAGTGAATAGTACCATAATGGACTTTTTAGTGTAAAAATATGATTTTTTTTTTGTTGAAGTGAACAGTACCGAAATTTTTCATTAAAGTTCCCTTTTAAAAAAATGCACTTAAGGGTAACCCATCTTTAATTTTTCACTTTTTAGCTTGACTGGCTAAACTTATTGAAAAATATAAGAAATTGAGAAAGAAGCGAGAAATAAACACCGAGTAAATCACAAATAATAAATATACACTAAATAATTGAGGGCGCCAAATATTTGAGATAGCGTTGGCAAAACAATGTCCTCAACCGCCACTTTGGCCACCACCGCACCCACTCACCACCACCGCCACCGCCACCACCCACCTTCAATTGACAGACTCACATTCCTAATCGACAAGTCAAAATCCATCAACCACCTTCTCCAAATTCACGCCCTTCTCCTCCGTCACGGTCTCCACCACCACCCAATCCTGAACTTCAAGCTCCAACGCTCTTACACCTCGTTCGGCCGCCTCGACCACTCCGTCGCCCTTTTCCACCGCACCGACAACCCCACTGTCTACTTCTGGACCTCCATTATCCACAGCCATGCCCAGTTGGGTCTTCAGAACCTTGCCCTCATGTACTTCACCGAGATGCTCACCAATGGCGTTGAACCCAATTGCTTCACCTTCTCCGCTGTTATGAAAACTTGCCCGCTTGAGCCCGGAAAAGCACTCCATTCCCAGACGATTAAGCTCGGGCTCGATTCGGATTTGTATGTCAGGACTGGTCTTGTGGATGTTTACGCAAGAGCCGGCGATGTTGTGTCTGCAAGGCAGCTGTTTGATACAATGCCTGAGAAGAGTTTGGTTTCGCTGACTGCGATGATCACTAGCTATGCGAAAAGAGGGGCAATTGAGGCGGCCCGCAAACTGTTTGACGGAATGCAGGAGAGAGATGTGGTTTGTTGGAATGTGATGATTGATGGGTATGCTCAGCATGGGATGCCAAATGAGGCTTTGTTTTTGTTTAGGAAAATGCTGGCGGCAAAGTTTAAGCCGAACGAATTGACCGTGCTGTCTTTGCTTTCTGCTTGTGGGCAGCTTGGAGCTCTTGAGTCTGGTCGATGGCTTCATTCTTACATTGAAAATAATCGAATTCGAGTCAATGCTCATGTGGGCACTGCATTGATTGACATGTACAGTAAATGTGGTGGCTTGGAGGATGCTCGTCTGGTTTTTGATAGGATTCAGGAGAAGGACGTTGTTGTTTGGAATTCGATGGTTGTAGGATATGCGATGCACGGATTTAGCCAAGATGCATTGCAGTTGTTCATTGAAATGTGTAGAATTGGTTACCGTCCTACTGATATAACCTTCATCGGAGTTTTGACTGCTTGTGCTTATGCTGGTTTGGTCAACAAGGGACGGGCTTTTTTCAGTTCAATGAAGGATGAATACGGAATAGAACCGAAGATTGAGCATTACGGGTGCATGGTAAATCTCCTTAGCCGTGCTGGGCAGCTGGAAGAAGCATACGAGTTTGTGAAGAAAATGAAGATTGATCCTGATCCTGTCCTATGGGGAACTTTACTTGGGGCTTGTAGACTCCATGGTAACATTGCTTTGGGAGAGGAGATAGCAGAGTTTCTCCTTGGCCAAAATCTTGCAAATTCAGGAACATATATTCTACTGTCCAACATCTACGCCGCAGCGGGGAACTGGGATGGGGTGGCAAGGGTGAGGGCCTTGATGAAAAGCAGTGGGATTCAGAAGGAGCCCGGTTGCAGCTCCATTGAAGTGGATAATAAGGTACACGAGTTCCTTGCAGGGGATAGGAGAAACCCGAGGAGCAAAGAAATATACACGATGATCGAGGAGATGAACCGTTGGCTCAAGGCTCATGGTTACACCCCACAGGTAGATACTGTGTTACATGATCTGGGGGACAAAGAAAAGGAGCAATCCCTTGAAGTTCACAGTGAGAAGCTTGCTCTTGCTTTCGGGCTAATCAGCACACAAGCTGGAACAACAATCAAAATAGTGAAAAACCTACGCGTGTGTTCGGATTGTCACGCTGTGACCAAGTTACTTTCGAAAATCACGGGCCGAAAGATTGTAATGCGGGACAGAAATAGGTTTCACCACTTTGTACATGGTTCGTGCTCTTGTGGCGATTACTGGTGAATACTAAATTATCAACATAACATAGTTTCTCTGAGATGCTCTCTCTCTCTTATATCTTGTAGTACGATCCTTCCACAAGTAACTAAATTTGTTTGTCTAATCCGAGCGATAACACACCCCTTTAACCGTGGTTTTGATCTATCAAGAGAGAGCGAACGACAAATTCAACCGGTTCTGGTTCTGGTTCTTCAGTATCCGAATTGTACGGGGGCTTTCGCTTTCAAAGTAGTCAACACAAGGCAAAACCAGAAAAATAGTTGGAATAACAGCCTTCCTGAGAATCTTCAGTAGCATGCCGTACATACCTTGAGAGAGAAGCAAACTACACTAACAAGCCTAACTAAAAATGTTGAAAACAATCCTGTACACCTCTCCTAGAAAAGCGGCTCGATTAACACTTGAATCAGGAAACGAGCTTACGAACAAAATGAACATTAGCGAGCCGAGCCTTGATCTACGGTTAAAATGCAATGCCTACGCACCTAAAACACACTCGCCATCCATCCTAATCAAATACGAAGAACTAATCTACGACTGGGAATTGACCACCAACTTCCAATACAAGACAGGTTTGGCATTTCCAGTTCTACATTCTAAAATCCAAGACGCACACTGTGTTGTTGGCAAAACATGCAGCAAGTTTGTCGCCTTCCTTGTTCCAGCAGACTTCAAATATACCGCCACTTCCAGTGTACGTTTTCACAATCTTGCGTTCCTTCAGTGACCAGATATGCATGGATTTATCAAGAGATCCACTGGCCAAATACTCACCATTTGGGCTAAAAGCAACAGAATAAACAGGTTCCCTGTTGATTCAAATTGAAGTATCAATACACCATGAAGTAAAGAAATTTTATCAAGCTTCCAACACCATACGTTCGTTTTGTCCAGTACCTGTGTCCATCCAAGCTGCAGAGAAGCTTTCCTTGTTCCACATCCCATAGCTTCACAAAGGAGTCAAATGATGCACTGTCAAGAAGCACAATCACAAAACTTAGAACCATGACACAAACATTCAGTGTATTTCCCCCGCACAAAGTAGTCGGTGTAATTTCTCCGCAGAGTGTGCATGCAGAATGAAAGTGCAAGTTTGAATACTATCAAGAAATAATATTTCTACATAAAGACGAGTACGCTTGGGCGTGAAAACAGAAATCCGCAAATGCAAGAACATGAATACAAAAGACCAGTGGCTTAACATACAGTTCTCACAGCACCGTAGGGTTAATGGCAATAAGAAGTTAGACAAGAACTTCTTTCATAGCACAGAATGAATCAGGAGAATTACCACCCAACCAGGTTTTACACAGGTAATAAATCATTTGCTCTCTTTATATAAAATTTCAATTGACAGCATTAAGCTTTTCTCGAAAAATATGAAAACCATGTAAAAGCTACTTATTGAAACAATTTGCAACTTCTAACTGAAATAATAAAGGAACACATGGCAAACACAATGCAAACAATACAGAAGCCAATGGCGTCTCATTTCATCTGAGAAGCACTATATTTACCTAGCTAGGACTAACTGTTGGTTAGGGTTGTTTGTTCCTGGTCCAGTGGGACTCCATCTGATAGTGTATATCTCCTACAATACAAATTTCCAACGCTTCTAAGATTCCAGAAAAGTAAAATCAAACGGCCATGATAGGCAAATTAAACTTGAATGACAATCTGAGGAGTACCTTAGAATGCTCTCTTAAATCATGAACATATTTTTCCTGCTTCATGCTCCATATCTACACCATAATTTTACATGAGTTGCAAATTCAATATTCTTCTCAAATGGAAAATAATGAACCAACCGAAATTGATCCATTTAATTGAAAATGGCTATATTACATTGAATTGGGGCAAGATGAAGAAAAGTAGAATTATATATTATATATGAATTATCGGACTCAAAACTTTTAATCAAGCAGTAAACGAGATTGGTTTAATCAATCCTATCCTTCCCATGTTCCAGAGTAAACAAAACATATGACATTAACCCCATACCAGGTCTGTGTTCAACTTCAGTATCCATCTTTAATTATATATAAGTATAGATTAAAAATATTATATGCAAACAACTATCTTATCAGACATAAAATTGAACTACTTGACTACAAATTGAGCAGGAAGCACATATAACCTTTGCAGTGCTATCGTCAGAACATGAAGCCAACAATGAACCAGTTGGATCCCATTTAACACAATTAACTTCTCCCTGAAACAGTGAAAATCCATTGATCAGCCACAAAAACTGATACTATCAAGTACCCTTGAAAATTATAAAGTTTAAAGTTTGCAAATAACACGTAAGTTTTTGCAGAAGTTCAAAAACAAGTGAAACCATTTTTGCTACCTGAGCAAATACCAGTAACTACAACCAGGCATGTTAAAAAAAAACTGGTAAGCTCAAGGCTTTCCAGTTGACCAAATCAAAGGCAGGTGTGTAAAGGAAATAAAACAGCAACATTCTAGAATGGAGGGCTGGCAATACCAAGACTCTCTCAAATCCATATTCAACCAGACAAGGACCAGTTAACAGTTATTTAAATGAAATTGAACATTAACATGATAGCATCGAGAGAATATATCTCAGCCTAGAATTGGGCATCCCTATATCTTCAACAATCTAAACAGCACAAAACTATCTGCAACCTCTTCAGAAAAAGAGCATAGTATACATAAACAAATAATAAGAACAAAGTGCTTAAAATATAATTAACCTCAGGTCTAATCTAGAGCAACTAAATGCTTGAAAATACCTGATGTCCCGCAAAAGTTTTAACAGGGTGGTTTTCCCCAATCTTGCAGACATATATCATATTGTCTGTTGAGCTCATTGCAAAGGAGACATTGTTGCGCCAGTCAACATCAAGAGTTGGACCTAAATGACAGAAAAATAGTCATCAAAATCCCAACACAGCCACTATTACACTGTCTGTTCCATGAAAATAATACACACCTGAATGAAATTCAAATTGTTGTTTCGGTTCCTCTGCCCTTACGTCCCACACAATTGCAGTTTTATCGCAGCTTCCTGTAAGAAGATAATCTCCCTTTTTGTTCCACTTTAGAGAGAATATAGGTCCCTTATGTTTGCTCAAAGTACTAATTAATTCACCTGGGCAAAGATACCACACAATATATGTTCTAAAAACTTCCAAAATGATGCTGAAAAGTAAACAAGAATCATAAATCAGATGAAACAGAAAACCAGAAAAACAATCATCTGCTTACCCTTTGTACTCCAAATTCTTGCTTGCCCATCATACGACCCGGTTGCAAGCATTGTTCCCTCTCCCTGAATTAGTGAAAGGTTTATTTGCATATACACAAACGAAAAAAAAATTCTGGAAGAGAAAAAAAAAACAAATAAAGAAGCTCCTGCAGTTTTAGATGGCTTTGGAATAAAGAAAACAAGTTTTTTTATTTTCTTGATAAGTCTCAAGAGCCCATAACAAAGAGCATCCGCATGGCATGTAATCTATTATATCAAATTTGATAGGTCAATTATCACAAAATATATCCATAACAACAGAGCTCACATTCCAGTCAAGCGTCGTCACATCTTTACTCTTTTCATTTGTTCTACCCTTAACATGCTTCAGCACCAACACATTTGAGGAACCATTTTGTGAACTAAATCTGGAGCTTCCATCAGCAATGGTCCAAATACGAGCTGTCGAATCTCCAGACCTGGAAAGTGATTAATTAAAAGTGGCAAGAGTAAGGGATTGAAACAAAAGGTATGGTAATCCTAACACGGCGTGGTAACACCATGGACTCAGAAACAGCCCATATTCTGGTCAACATTACAGGCCCACGATTAACATGATATATGATAAATTACTATCACCATTCCAGCTACCCTTAAGGGATGTTGATTTTACTGAAATTTAATGCTCGAGCGAGGCTTAAATAACAACAAAAGATAGTATAAAATCAAATGTTGCAGACTCTAGATAATCAGTAAAGGAAACATGAGCAGACAAAGGCAAAAACATGTCTCATCCAACGTTAGTATTCAATAACTATTAGTAAAGAGATATTAAATAAATTAACAAAGATTTTTCAATGGATCATTATGTCTTTTCTCTAAAAAAATAACAAAAAATAGATAACAGAAACATCCACTACATATGAACAATTTCACAAATACATACCCTGATGCAAGAAGGGAACCTGCTGGACTCCATGCACAAGCACATACCTAATGCAAAAATGGAAAGGAGATCCAATGGCACACAGAGAAACATGTATGAGGAACTATATGGCACAAAAAGGGGGTAAAAGCCAGATAAGGTGGGTAATGCAAGAAAATAGGAGCATGCACAAACCTCATTAGTATGCCCCTCCAAAATTGTCACATCAGAACTAGGGATTTCAACATCTGTAAGAGGAATATCCATTGGTTCTGCTCCAACAAAAAGAAATGATGATTATCATAATGTACATTTAGGAAATTGACAGGAAAAAGAGACAGAACTTGGACAGAACAAAAGTTTTTCAACTTTATTAAGAGGGAGTTTAACATAACATGCTCTGTCTTTTTACACTTATGCTAAAAAGTCTAATTCATTGTACCTAAATGATTACGGAATGAAGCTAGTTAAAATTCCTTGCACATATTCTCAAATGCCAAGAACTGTGCAAGCACCAGATTCCATAACCAATCTCTGTTAGGAATTGGCTCGACAATGTTAGTGTCGTATTTTGTTTTGGATTGTATTAGAAAAGCTAAATGTGCACATATTCTTGTCCTACAAGGATTAGAAAAGAATTAAGCTTTCTTGTACAATTAGACTAGGAATCCTCAAACAATAAACGGAATAGGGGGGTTAACAAAATCGGGTGAGGCAAGGGGCAGGAAAAAAAAACAAAAAGAAAAAAAAGAAGAAGAAAACAGAGACAGCCGAGAAGTCAGAGGAGGGTTAACAAAAACTCTGTATATTCAGAAGGTTCTTGAGAAGTTCAACATGCTAAAAGCCAAGGCAGTTTCAACTCCTTTGGCAGCTCACTTCAGATTAAGTGGGCAATAGTGTCCTAAGTCCGAGAAAGAGAAACAAACAATGAAGAATGTTCCCTACGGTCATATCGTGGGCTGCCTAATGTATGCAATGGTGTGCAAACCCAACCTAGCTCAAGCAATCAATGTCGTTTCCAAGTACATGGAAATCTAGGAAGCCAACATTGGGATGCAATCAAGTGGATTTTGCGTTACTTCGAAAGGTTCTTGGCGACAAGGGATCTTGTTTGAAAAGTTTAAAAAAGAAATGCAAGGGTGTTGGGGTACATTGATGCCGACTATGCAGGGCATTTGGACAAGAGAAGGTCTACCCCAGGTTATTTATTTACATGCACAGGTGGACCAATCAATTGGAGGGGCACTATTGCAACCAATTTCAGCTTTGTTGACCGCAGAAGCAGAGTATATTGCTCTGACCGAAGTTGGAAAGGAGGTAAGTTGGCTTAGTGGCTTTGTAAGCCAATTAGGAATCACTCAGGATTACAAGAAGCTGAAATGTGACTGTCAAAGTGCCATTTACTTGGCAAATAATCAGGTTTTCATGGAAGATCAAAGCATATTGAAGTGAGGTATCACAGAACCCAGGATTGGGTGAGTCCAAGGAGATTTGGGCCGAAAAGGTTCCTTACCAAGATAGTGCCGGCCAAGAAATTCAAGCAATGCTTGAACTTGATCAATCTAGTTGATTGTGTAAGGTGGAGTACCTCCTCACTTGAGATGCAATGAAGCAAGAAGAAGTTTTCCATGGTGAAGGTTCTTGAAGATTTCCTTCAGATACTCTAGGGTGCAACAGTCAAGACTTGGTTTGACTCACCAAGGTAGAGATTGTTAGGAATTGGCTCGTCAATGTTAGTGTCCTATTTTGTTTTGGATTGTATTAGGAGCTCAAGGTGCACATATTATTGTCCTACAAGGATTACGAAAGAATTAAGTTTTCATGTACAATTAGATTAGGAATCCTAAAAGCAGAAATGGAATAGGAATGTAAGTGTACTTTCCTATTCCAAATAGAATAGGAAACTTAATCAGAAAATAGGCATGTAAACCGCACCCTATACTTATGAATAGGGTGTGGCAGGGGGCAGAAAAAAAGAGATAAGAAAACAGAGAGCGGAGAGAGGTCAGAGGGATTAGTTCTAGGGTTTACAAAAGCACCGTATACTCTATTATTAATTCAAATAAGCCATGATTTCTCTATAACAGGATGTAGGCAAAAGATCTGCCAAACCAGTATGTATCGTGTGTTTCTAGTTATTCTCTATTTGCTAAGTTTAGTCTATTGTCGGATACATCAAAGAACAAGTTCCAAGGGAATCGAAAATCTTACATTCTCTCCTTGGCAGATCGTGATACATTACAAGAGCAAACAAGAAGTTAATGTAAAGCATTGTTCCTTACTTATTTTCTGTTCATTAAACATAAAAAATAATTCTAAAAGAGTAGTTCACCAGCTAAGCAGATGTTTGAATGGATAAACTTTTCCTGCATCCTAGTAGGCTCCAGAAACAAGTGTCTATATCTTCTAATATCTAACCAATCACAAAATAAAAGAACATAATCATTGAATGGATTTGTGGCTGCTTAAAAATTGTGGCCATTTTGTGGCCTTAGTAACTTTATTCAGGCTAATAAAAGAAAAAAGACCACAAAAGAGAAAATCATTTGCGGTAAAACTTGAATCTACCTCCAGAAGCTCCATTTTCTTCATGTCTGACATTAACTTTATCTTCCTGATCTCTAACTACATCTCTGTCATTGCGGTCCTCACGCTGCTTTTCTCGCTCCTTATTCTTTTCTATCCTCTCTCTATCCTTTTCGAAATCTTTCTCCCTTTCTTTTCTTTCTTTCTCTCTTACTCGTGCACGTTCTCCGTCATGTTCTTTTTCAAGCTCCTTATCTTTATCTTTCTTTTGATAAGACTCGTGCTCTTTATCTTTGTCTTTGTCCATCTGTGAATTCTTCCTTTTCTCTGTAATCATTTGCCTTAGTTGATTTACATCCTTCGTGATAAGATCTAAAGGTTGTAAAAATGAGAAATCTTCATCCAAATCTGCATCACTCTGGCAAGCTTAAAACAACAGCTGGTTAACATATATTCTAAGATGTGCAATCCTGTGCAAGTTCCAAAACAAAAATTACCAGTTATTCGATAATCCAAAAAACAAGAACAAGAATACTAACATTACTCAAGTTAGCTTCCATCTCCAAGTACTGAAGTCCTTTTTGTATAAATGTAATGAGGGCACCAGGTGGAACCAAATTTCCATCTATTGTGCATTTGTTGATACCGGCCTCATATCCTAAAGCAAAAGCTGAGTGTGTGAAGCCTGCAGAAGTAATATAACAAGAAACTTAGAGAAAAAGAAATAGGTTCACCAATTCAATCTTCGATTGAGTTGGAAGATCATTCACGTTTCTCACTTTGATAACAACTGTAGAGTGTATGCATGCAACTGGTTTGTGTACAGAACCCCATAAGATCACTCCACAACATCGATTCGACTGCTTTTATATGATGCTAAATAATCTACTACGTACACAAAAACTTCCAATCGCTTTGTGTATTGATTGTGCATCAAATCCGAACCAATATAAAATCTTATATCACCATATCATGCAGGTACAAATCACATTCAGTTAAACATTAAAATTTAATTAAATTTACGGCTAACCAAACTAAAATAATTTGATTATAAGAAAAAAATTACTCAACTCGAGCATTCAAAAGGAGAATTACACAACAAAAGTATACCCACTACTGTTTTCTGATCCATAATCTCATGCCCTCTCGACGCCGGAAAACAGGAAGCCAATTTGCAAACTTATTCCCAAAATTATAGTTCTCAGCCCTAATTAAGTTATAATAGAAAACATGTAACAGCAATTGATAAAGACACCCTTATAATCTGTACAGCACACCAAAATTCCCAGAAACCCTAGAATGACAATACAATTAAAAACGGGAACAGAAAATTAGGGAAATAAATTCGAAAGGTCGTTTGAGGGTTTGCAAAGTGAAGCATACCTGATTCCTGAAGGTAACGAAAGACTAGGAAATTCAACTCGACGGACGTGATGGAGGTCATCGTCGCAGAAGTCGCCGGCTTCAATGGCTGTGATGAGAGGTCCGCAAATCGTGCGGCCAGTTTCAATGAGAGAGAGAGAGAGAGAGAGAGAGAGAGAGGGAGAGAGATTGCAATGGCAAACGGGTAGGGATTTATCGGTTTTGCAGAGTTTGGAGCGGCTCTGGAAACCCAAGTCAGAAAGAAGAAGAAAGGGCAGGGGAGCAACGATTTTCCATTTTTCCTTTTTTGTTTTTTTAATTTTGTTGTGAGATTTTCTCTTGGTTCGTTTGTATTTATTTATTTATTGTATTTTATTAATGCTTTGGATAACGTAAAACCTTTCAACATTATTTGTATTCTTGGGTCTGACGACCCAGCCACTGAGATTCTGCCACCTGGATTATTAGATCCACTTGAGCACCACTTCATAGGCCTCGAGCCCAGTCTATTCCTCGCCATTAATAAATGGGCCGACGAGGACTGCCCAACAGAAAAGCCTAAATCAGGTCTAGTCTCTTGACCTCGATTCGATTCGTGGCCCATCCTACAAATTGGCTCAATGATATGGGTACGAATTGCGGCTATAAACAAAAAAATTTAAAAAAATAAAAATATGGGAGGTATCGGGTTCGGTGCTCTAAGATTGTGAATCTTCTTGAATGTGGTCATTGGCAGGGTGAAATTTTCTTTAGCCTCTTAGGGCCCGAAAAAGATGCATAACCATGGGTTGCCACTAATTGTCCCATTTTTAAAAGAAAAAATCAACTCATCAGGTAACCATTATTTATTGGATAGATCATAGTTAGAAAAATACAAAACAAGTATGGTACATGGAAAATATATATAACTAAATTAAAATAATACTCGAACTATATTTTTTGGTAAAAAAATAGTACGAGTATGATACATGAAAAATACATATATGTATATTTTTTGGTAAGTAAATTTGAAAAAATAGTACTGAGTATGGTACATGAAAAATACATATTTGCTTTATACTTGAGATTCGAGTTCTTATCTTCCGTCCGGCTATGGTTGTTTTAGTTAGAAGATGAATACAATTGGTTTTTGGCGAGTTCCTTTGTCCTTTAAGTCAAGTAGAGCGAGTGGGGCCTTTCTTTGCTTTTGTTCCATATGTACATGGTGCATGTGGGCAGTGCGCTTACGCATTCCCTGACCTATGCACCACTACAAGTCGACGATGAAAGGGAAAGACGATCCACGACACGCAAACATTTTGAATTGGGAGAAACTTTTGGAACGAGTTGATTGTTATTGTGTCGTTTTATTTTAATAAATTAATAATTTGTGTAATTGTGTCGTTTTAGTTTAATAAATTAATAATTTGTATAATTTCAACACATTAATGTATTATTAGATTGAGACGTTACAAACATACACAACGAAGAATGAATATGTCCTTAGTTTTATTTTTTATACAACAAAATTTTAACTAAAGAGTAAAATATTGAGCTAAGCCAAACAATAAATTTGCCATGAAGTGATATCAAATTTGTCATATATGATAGGCAAATTTAGGACCTCAGACTAACCAATTATTGATGTCTCATTATCTTGCTCATTGAATTTTTATCTTTCTATTTGAAGTTAAAATAAAGAGTCAATTATCTTGATTGTATAATCCAAACCAATAACATTTCGAAACGTGCTATCTGAACAAATACACAAACAAATACAAATGTTAGTTTGAATTAAATACGCAGTGTGACAATCATCTTGAAAAGTCGTTCACTTACAATGTACACTCAAGTCCAAAATGTCAATGTCCAAGATACACAATGTAAAGTTAGTTGTGACAATAAATCTAGATAGAGACGAGTGGAAAATAGGCACAGAGAAGAAAACGGCTCCAGTAATTATGTTCTATAATACTATAAACACACGAAGAAATTTGAGATTACTAAGGAATTTTAAAATGACGGAATTTTATTTTCTATAATTTGTGGATTTTCTTGTTTGGTTAACCTAAAAGAAAAATGTAATTAAATACATAATTTGTTATTTTTAAACTCTAAATCTTAGAAATTGGGAAATGACAAATACATGAAATTTAAACTTGGGAATTGGAGGTTCCAAATTCCAAGTTTTTTTTCCACAAGGAAATTTTAAATTTCTATATTTATAAATCCAAATAAGGGAATTCATGCATGTCAATTTCTAAATTTTGACGTTTATCAAAATTCCAAATTTATTTCCCTTCTCAAGATAAAAATGACCTCCAGAAAACATACGGTACTTGAACATTGAGCTCTAAACTGCTAAAAAAACTAAGCATGGATCACTACTGTCGCTGCATCGCACACCTCCTCCATCTATAAGTACCACATCTCCACCACTCACTGTAAACCACCCACTGATCACATCCATCTCAACTTCACAAGCAAACTATGAAACAACAGATCTTGTTATACATATTCCTCTCCATTATCTCCATCCTCTTCACCTTCAACTTCCTGCTCCAAACAAAACGACGCCGTTACAAAAACCTCCCACCAAGTCCACTTTCTCTTCCACTAATCGGCCATCTCCATCTCCTAAAAAGCCCAATCCATCGAACCCTCCACCGCCTCTCACAAAAGCACGGCCCCATTTTCTCACTCTGGTTTGGCTCGCAGCGCGTGGTCATAGTCTCATCCTCGTCGGCCGCACAAGAATGTTTCACCACCAACGACATCGTTCTAGCAAACCGTCCTAGCTTTATCCTAGGCAAGCACTTAGCCTACAACAACACCACCATGGCAACGTCCCAATACGGCGATCACTGGCGCAACCTCCGCCGCATTGGCGCCATAGAGATATTCTCCACCGCTCGACTGAACACATTTTCGAACATCAGAAAGGACGAAATCAAACAGCTACTACTTAAACTTTCACAAAACGCAAGTGAAGATTTCGCAACGGTGCCGTTGAAGTCTATGTTCCATGAGTTGACCTTTAACACTATAATGAGGATGGTGGCGGGGAAGAGGTACTACGGCGAGGATGTGTCGGTGGAGAAAGAGCAGGCGAGGCAGTTCAGAGAGATTATGAAGGAGGCTTTTGCTCAAAGTGGAGCGGCCAACCCGGCAGATTTTTTGCCGATCTTGAATTGGGTTGGAAGCGACTCGTATGAGAGGAGGGCCATGAAGTTGGGCAAGAGGACCAATAAGTTTTTCCAAGGCCTCATCGATGAGCACAGGAGCAAGAAGGGTGGAACTACTAGTACTATGATTGACCATTTGCTTACTCTGCAGGGATCACAACCTGAGTATTACACTGACCAAATTATCAAGGGGATTATACAGGTTAGTGTTTACTACTTTAATGGCCGTCTCATATATTATTTTTGGGAAATTTGGAAAACTAACCAAATTTTGGACCCTAAGTAGAATTCTAGCCACCTTTTTAAATTTATAATAATTATAACCAAAAGTTGATATAAAAGTACTAATACACCCTTCAAATAAAGTTTTCTCAAAAAAGCCAAAAAACAAAAAAATGTCATCCATGGAAATTAAACAAAGCAAGATTCAATTAAGATCAAGAGATTCGAAGTAGAATTGAATAAGTTCAAAGCCACCCGTTCTCCTTGAAGTTCCTTAAACAACCCAAAACCCCAATTCAATCATAGAAGAAAACAAAATCCAAAGTTCAACCTTTGGAGAAAATGAGAGAAAAAGAGAAGGGACCATCACATTTTGGGCTTTTCACCAACGATTTGGTTCTGGAGTTGATCTTGGAAGTAGAGGTCCCAATTGAGGGGCTGAGATGTTGAGGAAGGGCAGCAGACACTGAACTGAGCGAAGGCCTCGTTGTAAGCTTGGTGGTGCAAGTGCTTGAACTCAAGGATTACATCGTCGTAGTTGAAAATCAGAAATTAGAGAGCAGAGGAGGAAGCTAACCGAGACTGAGAGTGAGAGTCGTCTTCATGTGGAGGAGGTTGAAAAAATTTTGGGGGTTCGAAACTAAACGAAGGTTGTGCGTGAGAGTATAAAAGAGAAAGAGGAGGAAGAGAGAGGGATCGTGCTGCACGCCATGGTTGGCTATGCTTGGGTTGGGTTTATGTGGCTTTGGATTATCGTCTAGAAAGGATAAAGATGACGGTAAAAGACAGCTGAGCCTTTTGTTTTTTGGTTTTTTTTTTTTTAGAAAACTTTATTTTAAGTGTGTATTAGTATTTTCATATCAACTTTTGGTTATAATTATTAAAAATTTAAAATGGTGATTAGAATTCTATTTGGGATCCAAAATTTGGTTATTTTTCCAAAATTCCCATTACTTTTTAGAGTTTTTGAACTTTAATCCTTAAAGAAGATTAAAATTCAATAAAAACCTAGTGTTAGATTGAATATTGATTTTATTCATTTAATTCCTGATTTTTTTAAGTATGTATTGGATTACATATACTTTTCTTTTTCACAAACTCCTGCCAATGACCTTCAGAAATACAATTTCTGGAATTCTTTGAGCATCTCCAATGCAGAAATGTAAATTTAAGATCCATTTTCACTTTGATTGGTGAGACCCAACACCAAAAGATGCAAAAAAGATGTAAATTTAGGTTTATATTTACATTTTTGGGTCAAGATGAATATATTACATTTACATCTCTCTATTGAATTGTTTTCCGGCCAACCAAAAACATAAAATTACATTCCATTTCAAGATATCTTATAAATCCGATTAGAGTATCTGAAGTCACAATAATATAAGTGAATAAAAATAATATAAGTGAATAAAAGATAAGTAGGTAGTTGGTTTTGACTGGTAATATATAATGGGTGACACATTTGATATAAAGCACTTGGTTGGTTTGAAAATAATAATTCGTTTGATGTACATGGATAACAACTAATCAATCATGAATTTCATATCCAAGCTGTGCGAATCCCCTCTCAAACAAGCAATCGCCTACATTTTTCCACCCATCATAGCTTACAACAGCTGGGTTTAGTGTTTTAGAAACTAAAGAAGACAAGTCTTATTTCTTTACAATTCATAATATTAACTCAAAAGTAATTTTTAGGTCATAATAATGGCGGGTACTGATACATCAGCAGTGACACTAGAATGGGCCATGTCCAATCTCCTCAACCATCCCCTCGTGTTAAAGAAAGCTAGAGCTGAACTTGATGCTCAACTTGGAAATGAACGCTTGGTGGATGAACCGGATATCTCTAAACTACCCTATCTGCAAAGTATCATCTCCGAGACCCTCCGATTATACCCTGCAGCTCCATTGCTACTACCACATTTTTCATCAGATGACTGCATG